TCCGCGTTTTACTTATTTTCATGGTATCAGAGCTGTGATCCTGTTTTGCGATCATGACGAAGGACGGAGATACTTCAGACGGCAAGAAGGTTGCTGCCGATCTGGATTCTATACCACATAATTCTCCCTTTTACCTGCATCCGTCAGAGAATCCTGGACAACTGTTCGGGGGTGATCTACTTTCAGATTCGAACTATGGTGAATGGGTCAATGATATGTCGGAAACCCTCATCGCGAAGAAAAAGATGAATTTCGTTGATGGAACGTTGCCGCGATCAGCTGCGGACACCAGAGTTAAAGAAGATGCTTGGGACCAATGTGATGCAATGGTGAAAGGGTGGTTGAAGACGGCTATGACTAAAGAGGTTCGGAATAGTGTTCGTGCGGCCAAGACGGCACGAGAAATCTGGACGGACCTGCAGCAGCGTTTTGGAGCAAGTTCAGCAATGAGAGCCTATGATCTTCGAGGTCGGATCGTTTCTCTTAGGCAGGGAAAGTCTTCTGTTTCAGCGTTTTACACAAACCTTCGAACTTTGTGGGATGAGCTCCAGTCCGTGAGCATCAATCCACGTTGCAGCTGTGGCAATTGCGGCTGCGATATAGCCAAGCAGATGCGAGAAAAACAGCAGGGTGAGCGCCTAAATGATTTCCTTCTGGGCCTGGACGATGGCTTCTCGATTGTTCGAAGTCAAATCCTAAGCACTAGACCTACTCCCACTTTGGCGGAGGCGTACCAACAAGTGGCAGCGGAGGAACAACAGCGGATGATTACAAATGGCCGCCGCCCGACTGTAGAGACCGCAGCCTACCAGGCGCGCAACGAGAAGGATCGCGATGGTGAAGAGCCGGTTCGTTGCACTAATTGTAACAAGCTTGGCCACCTGCGAGAGCAGTGCTTCAGGCTGATTGGGTATCCTTCAGATTTTGGGAAAAATCGCAAGAAGCAGAAGGGTGAGAGCAGCGCGCGGGCAGCCCATGTTGATGCCGAAGAGAGCCCTATACCAGGACTCACGGCGTCACAGTTTGCTCAGTTAAAGCAATTTCTTTCAGCCCCTGCACCTGTCACTCCGGATCCCACTGCACATATGGCCGGTAATACTATTGACTTCAATGAATGGCTCATTGATTCTGGTTGCAATGAGCATATAGTTAGTGACGTGAGTTGGTTTGATAAAGTTAACTATTCATCTGATCACTCAACAGTTCGTATTCCTAATGGAAAATATATACCAGTAGAGGGTGTTGGTTCGGTGCATCTAAATTCGAAGCTCACCTTGAATCGTGTTCTTCTCGTACCTCAATTCAAGTGCAACTTATTGTCTGTGAGTAGGCTAATCAGGGATAATGATGTAGCTTTGCTTTTCTTGGGACATGTTTGCGTACTTCAGGACTTACGCTCCAAGACCGTGATTGGATTGGGCCGCCTCCGTGATGGTTTATTCTACTTACCTCGCGAAGAGAAGTTGCAAAGAGAGGCTGGGTATTCGACCGCAATGGCAGCAGCACAGAAGGGAAGTCAGACCCTTCGGCATCATCGTTTGGGACACCCCTCTTTTGAGAGAATGTCAATTTTGAAGGATTTTCTTAGTTGTCAGGAACACAGTTGGTTTAAGTCACATTGTGATTCTTGTATGCGTGCTAAACAGACTCGTACGCCTTTCCCGTCTAGCTCTATTAAAACCTCTGGTTGCTTTGAGTTAATTCACATAGACCTTTGGGGCGGTTACAAAACCCCTTCTATGGATGGCTCAGACTTTTTCTTGACAGTGGTGGATGATTATAGCCGCACTACTTGGGTCTATCTCCTGAGGTATAAGTCTGATGCGGAGAAGTATATGTTTTGTGAAATGGTGCACGCAGTTTCAGACACAGGTTCGCCGGATACAATCTGATAATGGACTGGAGTTCCAAACGAATTCTCTCAAGGACTACTATGCCGACAATGGGATTTTGCTTCAGACTTCATGTGTTAACACTCCTCAGCAAAACGGGGTCGCTGAACGCAAGCACCGTCATCTTCTAGAAACAGCACGAGCTATGCGTTTTCACTCGGGCTTACCTGTTCGTTTCTGGGGAGAGTGTGTATTGACTGCCACCTACCTCATTAATCGGTTGCCTTCTTCGGTTTTAGGTAACAAAACTCCTTTTGAGGTTTTACTCGGTCGTCCGCCAACTTATGATCATGTTCGGACCTTTGGATGCTTGGTATATGCCAAGAACACTCAACATGGTCTCGATAAGTTTGCGGCTCGTGGACGTCGCTGTGTTTTTGTCGGCTACCCTCTCGCACAGAAGGGGTATCGCGTTTATGATTTGGAATCTCGCCGCATTTATTCTTCCCGTGACGTTTTCTTTGTGGAGAACGAGTTTCCGTTCCGGGCTTCCTCGGACGAGGGCATTTCGTCATCGTCTGCCCCTATTATCACCCCTCCGGTCTTCTTTGAGGGGGAACACACACTTGATCCACTTGTCGCTGATTGTGAGTTGCATGCGGCTGATTTTGGTGATGAACTAGCCGCCACCCAAGAGGGACACACCGCCACTCAAGATGCTCCTAATGCTCCTTCCCACGTGCATGGGCATGTCACAGACCCATCACCTCCCATTATGGAGCATTCTTCTTCTGGGACGTCTACCGAAGAGCCTCCCATGCTCCCTCGACGTGGCCTGCGTGAACGACGCCCTCCTGCGAAGCTAGACATCTATGATATTGAGCTCCCTGGTGGTAGCTCCCATGCAGCCGCCACTTATCCCATTGCTAACTACGTGAGTTATGATCGATTCACTCCAGCTCACAAGGCCTACCTGGCTGCTATTTCTAAGCTTGAAGAGCCTCGTCATTTTCGTGATGCTGTTATTCATGAATATTGGCGCGAGGCCATGCAGAGGGAGGTATTGGCTTTGGAAGCAAATGGTACCTGGACTTTGGAATATCTTCCCCCAGGGAAGCGAGCTATTGACTCAAAATGGGTGTACAAAATTAAGTATCACCCTGATGGCACTGTTGAACGCTACAAGGCTCGGTTAGTCGCCAAAGGATTTACTCAGCTAGAAGGCATTGATTTTCATGATACCTTCGCACCGGTGGCGAAGCTCGTAACTGTCCGCATTCTCATAGCTCTTGCCGTACAACGTGGTTGGGAAATGCATCAACTCGACGTTAACAACGCTTTCCTACACGGTGATCTGCAGGAGGAAGTCTATATGAAGGTTCCTCTTGGTTTTCAACAAGATGGTGATACCCGGGTATGTCGGTTGCGAAAGTCGTTATATGGGTTGCGTCAGGCCTCCCGAGATTGGTACCAGAAGTTTACCTTGGCTCTTACTGAGCTGGGCTTCACTGCCTCACGTGCCGATCACTCACTTTTTCTATGCCACAAAGGGGAAACTTTTGTTGCTGCACTCATTTACGTGGATGATGTGGTCCTTACGGGTAACGATTCAGTTTTCATTTCTCGTGTGAAGACTTTCTTGGATTCTCGCTTTAGCATCAAGGATCAGGGCCCGTTGAAGTACTTTTTGGGCATCGAGGTTGCCCGATCCCCTGAAGGCGTTGTTCTTAGCCAGCGTAAATACACCCTTGACATTCTGAAGGATGCTGGTGTCACTGGGGCCCGCCCTAGTAGTTTTCCCATGGAGCAGAATCATGCTCTCACTCGACCGACCGATCAGATTATTTCTGACGTTAGCTCTTATCGTCGGCTGGTTGGACGTCTGTTATATTTGACTGTCACTTGTCCGGACATTGCTTATGCCGTAAATGTGCTTAGCCAGCATGTTCATGCCCCTAGCCCGGACCACGTTGCTGCTGCCACGCGTATACTTTGCTACTTGAAGACTGCGCCTGGGCAAGGTTTGTTTTTTCCTTCCTCGGGGTCTCTTACCTTAACGACTTATTGTGATTCTGATTGGGCAGGTTGTCAGTCCACACGTCGTTCTACCACTGACTACTACATTCAGCTAGGCTCTGCACCGGTTTCTTGGCGCACCAAAAAGCAACGGGTCGTTGCTCGCTCCTCTGCAGAGGCGGAATATCGTGCCATGGCCAGCACCGTTAGTGAAATCATCTGGTTACGGCACCTACTGACCGAGTTAGGCACTCCGCAGATGGCCGCTACTCCTCTCTACTGCGACAACCAGGCAGCTCTACATATTTCTGCGAACCCAGTCTTTCATGAGCGTACAAAGCATGTGGAAATGGACTGTTACTTTGTTCGGGAGCGTGTTATCTCTGGTGATGTTGAGCCTCGCAAGATTGCTACATCATCTTAGCTCGTCGACATTCTCACCAAAGCTTTGGGCACGGAGCGGTTTCATTTCCTCTTGTCCAAGCTTGGCATTCGTGACCTTCATGCTACAGCTTGAGGGGGAGTATTGAGATGAGTAATTAGTCAAATAGATTAATTACGTGAACCATATTGAGATGAGTAATTAGTCACATAGATTAATTACGTGAACCTTTTTGTGATTTGCCACTCGTGCTAGAGCTGCCCTAGTTTACTGTCGTTGGGTATTTATATTTGGCTCTAGCAGAATGGTTTTGCACTTTTGACATGGCGCAGCCACTTTCTGCTGTTGCTTAGTAAACACCAATAGAGAGCTCTGCTCTCCGTGGATTAGTCCTGTTCAATTGAACAGGAATACCACGTAAATCGTGTGTCGTTTCCTTTCCGCGTTTTACTTATTTTCATTCCTTATCTACTTATGCCGACTAGAATGAGACTAAGAAACTTCAATGACAACTAAGTCAACCATCGGCGTGGCTTCCACAACCAATGTACATTACTCCATCCATCCATTGTCACGTTTGCTACACAACTGACCATAAATCGAAAATGGCTCATCTGCTTTTTTAGGAAGCTTCAGAGCCAGCCAGCCAGTCACCTCAAATCCCAGCTTAGTTAGGCAGCCTAACCCTAACAGCAGTCTCGAGTTGATTCAAGAGGAAGCATCCTTCCCTCCTTTGCCTTTCCCAAATGAACATATCATATTAACCGTGGTGCTACCCATGGGAACTACCTTTGGCTTCTTTCGTTCCTTTTTCCCTCTCCAAAAGACAACAAAAGCAGTATAAAAGTAAAGCTACCATTGATGATGGAAGGCAGACTGGAAAAACCATCAAGTCGGTGAAGTAAAGATATCAATACCCATCAAATCTCTCTCTCTCTCTCTCTCTCTCTCTCTCTCTCTCTCTCTATATATATATATATATATATATATATATATATATATATATATATATATATACACACACGCTGGTTAATGGAGTTGAGAGGCAGAGAGGCTCTGTTTCGAATTGCTCTGTTTTCTCTGCAGCTGGCTCTGTTACTTCCACTGAATATCCGTGGTTTGTTTCCAAAGAAAGGCCCTGGTCTTTAAGCATGCCTCTATCAACTTTTTCCTTGGTCCAATCGTCATAATGGCGATTTCTTTCCTTGAACCAAAGTCCAAAACGTCGCCGTTGGGGAAGCAACTAGTGTCTAGTAGTGATCTTCGTAGCGCATTTGCATCCAATGAACTCTTACTTTCGTCCATTTGTAACGAAAAACAATGGCCACCCAACAGGGCCAACATGATTCTCTGTATTGTGTGGTGTTAATAAGGATGAGGTAGCAAAGCTTTTTAGCCACGACTTGTTAGCACCCTCCATGATACATGGCCTAATGCCTATAACCTTACTCTCAAATCTTTCAAAACCAATTTAACCCGAAACTCAGATTTTTACGCTTTGGGGAAATGTACGCACTCGATATTCAACTCTGTCAAGCGAGTTAAACCTTGTAATCCACATTTTAGTGCGTATGTGCAGGCTAGGCTTGCTAATATGTGTGTAATTAGGGACAATTATGACCCTCCATCGAAGCATGTTCATTGTTGGTCGAGGATCCAATACCTTCTTCATCTCTTCCTCGTATGTGTATACATATCGATATATGTAAATATACATATAGGATAATTGCTGAATAATAGCAATAATCTCACCCCATGTAAACGTAAAGTCATTCAAAAGCGAACCATTTAATTCTCGTTTCATCTCTTGCCTAATCTGGTTTAAATAACATAACAAACTCATCTAACACTTTTCACTCACACTTATAGGAGTTGTGAAAACGGTTGGTCCCGTAATTTTATAAATACTGAAAAAATCAAAAATTTAATTGACATTTGGATTTAACCAAAATCAGACAAAAACAAACCGAATACAATTATAATCTGATCCTTTGTCCTAACGTATCTTTCATTATTAAACCGTAATTCTCGTAAACTCCGAACCATACAATTGCACACCCACGCTTCTGTTTACCTTCTCCCTTCTCCCTTTTCTTAAATTTATGAAAGAACCATGTTGGGTTGTGAGCTGTGACCTTACATGAACTCAACAGATCATATTTTTCTCCCCTTGGGACCCTGAGCTTGCAAAGGCAAAGCCATTCAGGCCCACGGTCCCTCACCCAGAAGAAACAAGAGCTTTCAATTTGGGGCTCCTCTGCCCTACAAGTCTCAAAATCACATCGATTACAACACGACCATCAATGGAAGTAAAGCCCAGAGACGAAGCAACATCCCTTTCCCTCCTCGAGCTACCACCATATCCGTAACTACTACTGCCACACATCTTTATCAGTTGTGGACTCAACTTTCTGCACCATATTCATTTTTTACTGTGGTGCGGTCCCAATGCGCCCGGCAGTGAATTAGGGTTTTTCTTTTTTACTGCCTTGAGCTATCGCAGTCTTTGACAACAACATATATGTTAATTAGTAATTCTTTATTCACTGTACATATCTCCTGAGACATCGCCCTTTGCTCCCCGGCCACGAACCTAGCTAAGCGACCGTTTGGATTTGGTTGGATTTGCAGACAAGAACGCTCAAAGAAAGGTTCACTGAACTAGCGGAAGGAGGGGAATGGATCACGTCAGTAACCTTATGGTGAGTAATCATGAGTAACCCGTCCACATCAGCATGACATCAGCATCCTTTCTCTCATGGAAAGCCTTTAATTTTTCCCTCTTTAATCTTTGACGGACGATTTCTCGCTCATTTTAAGTCGAAATTTAATTTTTTTTGCACAGTTAGATCAGATTAATTGTGCTCTTCAAAATGATATCCACTTTAATATATTTTTCGAACAAAAAAAAATTGAGCCATTTATTACCAGCCTATACCATATGGTATTGACTGGTATTGAAATAAAAGCATACCTATGTTTTGAAAAACGTATCATGGTGGTATGAACAAACCAATACTGTAGGATGGTTGAATACATGATAGTAGAAGTATATTAATTGTAATTTACGACTTTTAACATTGTATACCACACAATACCAGGGTGGTATTGTATGGTATTGTATGGTATTTTTTGGTCCTGTAATTTGTTCACCCAGAAATTTGTAGATCCAATAGATCATGATGAACTCGTCCCTTCTGTGCAAACGTTTTCAAAAACGAATTAAAAACGAAGAAGATACCATACAATACCACCCCGTACCAGGGTGGTATTGTATGGTATTGTGTGGTATTTTTTTGTCCTGTAATTTGTTCACCCAGAAATTTGTAGATTTAGTAGATCATGATGAACTCATCCCTACTGTGCAAACGTTTTCAAAAACGAATTAAAAACGAAGAAGATACCATATGGTATGCAGTTGGTACCGAGAGGCCAGAACTTTTTTTCCTAAAAAAATATTGAAAATTGATCTCATTTTGTAGAGCACGGTGAACTCGTTCCATCTGTGCAAAAAAAATTAAAATCCGAGTTAAAACGAAAAAGATATGAGTCAATTAAGAAAGCTAGTGAAAATAAAAATAGCCTTTAATTCTCCATCCTTAGATCTGGATTTTCTAAATGAAGGGTCCAGATTTGGTTATTGATGGGTGCATAACCATGGGTTATGCACCCTATCTTGAGCCCGGAAGGAGTACCCAAATTGATGACTTGTACAGAGTGTTGAAATTAGAGTCATGGCACCCTATTCTGAAGCCGTTTGTGATGTGGAATCTCGTGTTTAAGCCGATTTCACGCTAGGTTGTGTGTTTATGTCATATTTCAGGACCCGGCGTTGGAATCGAGGCGGAGAAACGAGTTCTGGGTCGAAAGGAGCGAAGTTGGGACGAAGGAGGCTGATGGACCAAAATACCCGGCCAAAGGCAGAATACCCGACCGGGTATTTTCTGGCCATGGTCGGGTAATTTTCACTTCGGGCGTCCGTGAGAAACAGAAGGGGGCCCGGGCAAAGCTTAAATCCCCGGTCGGGGATTATGAGTCAGACCGGGGATTTTCCCTTAAACGGTGCGTTTTGATTATACCCGGTCGAAACCCGAAATACCCGACCGGGTATCGCGACCAGGCAGCAATGATAAAAGGAGAAGAAGGCCAACATTGAGGGTTCCGAGTTTTTGAGAGAGAAAGCGATCCTAGAGAGAGAAAGCGACGAACCAGAGTTCCCAAGTGCCATAGCTTGATCTTCATCACCATTGGAGCCCGGCTTGAGCTTGGAGAAGTGCCGATTAAACGTCCAGGAGCAGAAATCCTCTTCACAGTATGATTTCCGGTCTGAATCTACTTTTTGCTTCCTTCTCTATGAGAGTAGTTCCCCCATTCATCTGGGTATGGGGAACCCTAGATTTGTATGCTAGGTCTGATTGTATGAACCCAAGTACAGAGTTTGTGAATTGATTATATTCGATTGAGGTTTTGAATGATTGAATGACTTGAAATCCTGATCAAATCCTGTTGTTTCTGCTTTGACACCTAGAATAAGAATATCTGCCTAGGTTGATAGAGTATCCTTAATCGAAGGTGGCGAATTGGTGACTTTAGTCGAGGAGCCAATTCGCTATTCTGTACCGAATTCAATTCGGTAGTGGAGGTTTTGTTCATAGGGCCTCAATCTGTTTACTCCGGTGGAGGTTAGTCGCCCGCTAGAGACTCAGATTGGGAGGGTCTGGAGGACCTTTAGTCGAGACTTCAGGCTAATTAAGAACCTTCCGCAGTATAACTTTCATGAAAACTGAACTTGGTACATTGCAATCCGACTTAACTGCAGTCTAGGCGGATCCATATCCGGGTGACCTCTCTTGACTTGACAACAACCGTTTACTTGTTTTGTGTTTTTGTTTGCTTGAGTTTGCACTAAAAGTTCACTGCTAAATAACGAGAATTCACCGAGTAGTCACACATCTAGGGACCCCGGGTTGACAATAAAACCCAAACCCGCTATACTACGCTTTAGGAAGTGGTTGCACTTGGCCATTTTCTAGAGTGACAGTAGGAGTGAGTCAAGTTTTTGGCGCCGTTGCCGGGGAACGGCTAGGTTGTTGAAGAAAAGTGAATTCTGTTACTTTAGCATTTTCATTTTTGCATTGAGTGTTTGTTCCTTCCCACTTGTGCCTTCACGGGTTTGCATTGCTTGATTGTGTGCAGATAGTGCATGACCCGTAGCCAGTCGGGAGGTTTACTGCCGTTGAATCCTAAGATTGAGCGCACCTGCAAACAACTTCGGAGACAACAGCGAGCTAGACTGGCTACGGGGGAGCGCAGAGACGACCAATTGAGCAGCGAATCCGAGGACGAGTACGAGATGGAAGGCGATCAAAACCCACCTCCGGTGAACCAGATCCTGGGGAACGACCCAAATCCCCAGGGAGCTGGGGCCCATCATCATCCACCACCACCGGGTCCCACCTTGGAGTAATACTATACTCCACGGATTGCTGACATCCGCCCGGTCATCCTCTATCTGCCCATTCCTGCAAACAACTTCGAGATCAAGCCATGCTGGATTCAACTCATTACATCCTCTATCCAGTTCCATGGCTTGAAGGATGAGGAAGCCCGGGTACATCTTTCCCGTTTTCTGCAGCTGACGAATGGGTTTAAGCTGAACGGTGTCCCGGATGACGCAATCCGCCTGCAGCTCTTCCCCCATTCTCTGGCGGGGAATGCTAAGAGGTGGTTGGAGACCCAGCCCCCATTGTCCATCACTTCTTGGGACGATCTGGCTGACAAGTTCGTGCACGGTACTATCCGGCATCGAAGACCACAGAGATTCAGCGGGAGATCACTCACTTCCGCCAAGAGCCAGATGAGTCCCTTCATGATGCATGGGAGCGGTACATGGGATACTTCTGGAAGTGTCCTTATCATGGCTTCAGCGATGCGTTCACAGTGGGGAACTTCTACAGCGCCCTCACTCCAGACAGCCAGAGGGTGATTGAGTCTATGTGCCTAGGAGGGGATATCCTTACTAAGACTCCACCCGAGCTGAACCAGATGATTAGTACCTTGGCTGCCCGGGATCATTCTTGGGGACAGAACAACAGAGGC